ATATTAGACCTTAATTCAATAAATAAATAAAAATCTAAGGGGGCAAAATTATTTGTGAAACCCACAAACATTTATGATTTTTATCTTTAGGAACGCTGTACATTTTGTCTTTTAGTATGATGTAAATTTCTAAAACTGATGTTAAAACATTTTAAGCAACACAGTTTTATAAAATTATCAGCTACTGAGCACAGTTTGGACCTAGTCCACACATGATAATGGCTTTATTTTTTTTAATAACTAAATGCATTATTTTAAAAGTTAGCAAACTTGAAATAAATTCAGCCACCTACATGACTACCAACCTCCTCCCGGTCATGTTGTTCTCCAGACATAGGTTCCAGTGAGGATGAGGATGATGCACCAGCAGAAAATAAATGTCAGTTTCTGACACTTGGCTGAATTTTCTTGTAGATGCTTTTTCTTTTCTCCCAATTTTTGTTCTCCTCCCTTGCGATTATTCTCCATTTGTGCTCTTCTWATTTTTATTATTCGTTTTCTWCTTCTTACYCCTTCTTCCTCTTCTTCAGCAAACTTTTCTTCTTCTTCTGACTTTGTTGGTGGTTGGTAAACAATGATTTGGTGCATTATTGCCATCTACTGGTATTGAGCGCAGCTACACAAATACTTTTTTTTCCTCGCTCCCTGCGCCGGCCCAGTGATGCACCAGCCCACCAGGAAAAGTCCCTGTACTACCAATGGCCAGTCCGCCCCTGCCCGGTGGGCCGGACATGGCCTCTGTCAGTGTGCCTCAGGGCAGCTGTGACTACAATGTAGTTTGCCACCATCAGTGTCTGAATGTGTGTATAAATGGGTGAAAGATTGAACCGTGAAGCTACCTTGTAGTCCAAGTTGATTTGATAAGGCGCTATATGTTCAAGCCACTTACCAAATCCTCTTTTCAATATTTATTTTTATTAAAAAAATATCTCTTGAACCACTAGTTAAACTCTCATTGTACAAAGAATTAACCTCTGGTTGCCACAGCCAACTGACAGAGACATAAAAACGAGTTACTCAGGGAATTTTATAGATAATGAGCTGTGATTTGGTGTGGTAGTATTTGAGCATCAGCACTGAGGCCACAGGACATTGTGCAATATTTTTTGGTATTAGCTGCTGGCACCAACCATTTCATGAACCACTGGATGGATTTTAGTTAAACGTAGAAAACAACCATTGGCTACATATTTAACTTTTAAAAATGGYTRTAACTCAGTCAGTTTTCCATWTATTGAGCCAATTCTGGTATGGTAGTAGCTGAGAGTCATCCTCAACTTATTATTGCTRGCATCTTGTGAAATCTCRCAATTTCACACAAGACTGTGCATAATGCCRTTTATAAAGTTGAACCAAAATGTCTCATTCTCAGTAAAAAGGCTATTTCAGTTCAAACTCTGGTTTGAAAGGCGGAGGGCGATGTGCATTTATTTAAGCAATGCTAGGCCTTTAATTAGGATTAGCGTTTGAAGAACGTGTCTGGAGGGTTATAACAAGGTGGATGGCAGTTCCAATATACTGCWTGAAGGGAGCAAATTAGCCCAAGAGAGACAGTCTGCCAAGTGAGACAGCATGGTGGGATGAGCAGACTGGGAGTTGGAGGGGGGTCACACACAGAAACCAGACAGGACACTGGCTCTCTCAAATAAATGAGAATATGTGGATGAGAGGTGCGTCATCCGGAAAGAAGGAGAAAAGGAGCCAGAAAGAGAGTGGGAGTTCTGCTTGTGTTCTGAATCTACTTGTCCTTTAACATGAATACAAATGTATTGTCTTCCACTGGTAATGCATGCAGTAAAATTACTACAGACTGCTATTATCCACAATAAAAGTGAGAAATAGTTGCCGAGATGGCTTGTAAKGACCTTGCAGGTTGTGTAGCATCCTACAGTGAGGAAATACTGTGTTTTTGTCCACTGAGAAAACACTCCTCTGTTAGGAAAATAACAGGGTAAGAGACGGGTCTCAAACCTCACGCTGTAATAGTTCAACACAATCCCTGGGACAATGAAAAATTTCTGGATCTTGTTTAGCGATTGACAGCCAATTCTGTCACACACGCATTAGTTCCAGTGTCGCGGCGAGGATGCTGCTGCGACTGTACTGTGTGTCTTAGGTGATGCTCTGTAAATAGCATTAGTCGCGCTCTGTAAAGAATAGACTTGTCAGGATTTCAGTGAGGCAAGTCGAGCACAACAGCTTGGAGAACGAGCCTTCACGAGGGCATGCATGGGAAGATTTGGCAGCAAGAAAAAAAAAGGCGCCGGTGGGGGGTGGGATCGGCACTTGTCAGCAATTTTAAACWGACTTGAGGGGCTACATCCTGACGCACGTGAGCTTGCTTGAAGCAAGGGAAGACAAACCTGCACGACCACGCGTGTAAACACGCAAGTCGGGTCAGGAAAATTGGCTTGGGTTGCAGCAGCTCGCCCTGGGCATGAATGGAGAAGCACCTGTGTGTCAAAGTGGTGCCATGGCAACGCTTCCGGTTCTGTGATCAAGACCAGCGTGAGGCTTCTTTTTGAGAGAAGGGCCCACTGGCGACAAGGGAAGAGCTTCCTGATAAATCCTTGAATTTCTGAAGAGGTCCACTTGGATTTCTAGTATACTTAAGGTTCTTTCTAAAAAGATACTGATTCTTCAGTTTGTCTGACGAATAAAAAGTGTCTACCTCAAACATGTGCTAGAAATATAGAAAAAGAAGCAGCTTTCTCTCAGATAAACAGCTAAACGTTAAACGTGAAGAAAAACTAAACCAAACCTGTCAATAACAAATGCAGAGCTTTACCACGAAGCCTCGCGTGTTGACTTCATCACCTGCCCCRCAGAGGCGGTGGAAGGAGGAGGCGGGGCTACATCAAGGGTTTGATTTAGATTCAGAGACTTAAGCTGTTTCTGTAGCAGCACAAGAACCGTCTCTCGTTCTAATCTCGGCAGAGATCCACCCTGAGCCAGGAATATCCCAAGATAAATATGGAAGTGAACAATGCGATTGCTGAGCAGCAACTTCCCATTTTCTACACCTCTCATCTCTAATCCTCTTCAGCATCACTCCTGAACTGCCGATCCTCATCTGAATGTGCAGGCAGAGCCGGTGATATTACAATGCTTTCCTCCTTTCTCCCTCTGCTGTTATTGGGGTGGGGGTGGGGGTGGGGGGGCATTCGACCACTCTCCCTGCCTTCTTAATGACAGCTGCTTCACTCATTGTAAAAGCTATCAACCTTGGGTTTGAATATCTCAATAACCATCGGATCTTATCAGCCTCTCAAGTCAAAAACTCTCTTCATCCACCGAATTAAATCCTCTGGAACAAGAGCCATCACATTCACTCACATGCACTCTTGCTGTCCTACAGATTGTGATGAGACATAGATGTCTGATGATTGCATTTGCAAAAAAATAAAAAATAAATAAAAATTAAAAAAATTAAAAAACGGTGACATTTCTTTCTTAAAGAAAATCATGCACCATCTCTTTTCACCGTGGAAAATACCTTCGTCTTCATCACCGTCATTCTCCGATAAATCCTCGCCGTGTTTTTTTGCATGGGCCCCTGTTATTGAAGCAGGAAGAGACATAAAGACGTACAGAGAGAATTCAAAATAGCACGCTTGGCACAAACAGATGGGCAGAGAGGCATTTCAATGAGAGCAGTAATTAAAACCACACGTGAATAAAAATAAATGATAAAAAAAAAAACAATGTTCATTTAAATACATTTTCTGGCAACATTTCATTTTTCTACTCAAAACAGTTAACTGTGGCAGAAACATAAATCACTGTTATAGTAAACACATTCAAACAACTGGGGGAAAAAAGCATGGCTTCCAGAAATACACATCAGCAAAACTCATCTGTTTTTGTATCATATTAGAGGCAGAGTCATACAGCACTGACATTTTCAGAAAAACCTCTTACTCAGATAAAAAAAAATCCTATCTTAGTTTTTGAGGATTGTTGCAAAGAAAATGGCCTGCTWATGCATATAATTCTGTCTTTAAATTTGTCTTCAAAGTATTTTTTGCAACTACTTTAAATATATAATCTACAGTACATTGAAGTTATAGTTAGGAGAAAAGGGCAAATATATTTAAATCACCAGCAATTATCACTAGTGACAAGCAGAAGTACTTAAATTTAAGCATGGGTTTTAAAAGTGAGTGAAACTACAAATATATTCAAGTGGGACAAGATTAGAGCTAATGATTCTGTGTATCATGTTCAGGCTATGATGTGTTCCTTTTTACCCTAAATGATAGGCAATATATTAATTAGAAACATAATTGTCACAGTGAATGGGTTAGCACCTGTCCCCTTCAAAAACAGCTGTGACCAGTCATGGACAAGAACCCTGATAATGTTAGTGTTTTAGTATTTTATACCCTGTGGGTTGTGGTCTCATTGTTTGCTTCCTACAGCTGCTGACAGATTCGTGTCTGTGGGGTTTGAGACTTTTGTTTAGCTCTAGGTTTAACAGGGTTGAGAGGGTCTCAGTAATTGTTTTGCAAAACTGCACACATTGTGTTGATGATTACCAGTGTTACTCATTTTAACTCTCAGTATTAATGTTATAGCTATGGCAATGCTGTTCTTTTGTTGTGTTTCAATATATACAGTAGTTCAGGTCTTTTGAAGTGGATAGCTCTCTGAACAATCGCACTYTGGAAAGATAAAGTTTAATTTTGATAAGCTAACAGCTAGTCCAACCACAGCCAAAGCGGATTGCTGCTGCAGTAAAACTACTCTAATCTCAAAAAGTATGAAAGTGCTCGATGCAAACACTTTTTTAAAAAAAATCCTTTGCTCTGCTGTCAACTTTGAAAGACGTGGTTCTTTTCATAGCTACTCTGGGAAGTGCAAATAGCAGCAGCATCTAGTACATTTAGTTTAAATGAAGCCTGGGGCACTTCTGTTGGTCACGTCTTTATATTTCTGCTGGAACTGCCATGTAATGTACAACTGACAACGATGGAAAGGTTTATAAAACTAGTATTTGCATGAACTGTGACATTTTTGAGCCTGGAGTTGCTGTAAGTCACCAGGTACTTCAGTCTTCACACCAAGTGAACTAGCCATAAGCTGTGTTTAGAACTCTTTTTCTTCAAACTGAGGTTGTTCAAAAATCTATCCACAACAGGTAAAATGCTCATAGGTCATTTTCTTTTTATACAACCTTAGTTCACTAAATGTGATTTCTTGTTTCAAGTGGTATAAGAATCTACAGCTTTGGTTTAAACCTACAATGCACACATGTGACTCTTGTGACATGTGACATGAGAATGCACAGATCTCTTTTTAATCAAACATTTTCTGCTTGGCCTTCAGAGGAGTCGGACGCTTTTTGCTCTCTCTCCTGAACCTCCCTCTTTTCCCTGCTTTGCTGCTGGATCAGGACTTTCTTCTACCTATCATTCAACAACAAAAGAATTAAGGATCTGGTCAACTCTGAATGCAATTGATACCATTTTTTTCCACTCTGAGATTAGAGCACGGGGAGCGCTCTTGTCCCAGTGGAACTGTCAGCCCAAGCGTGTGTYGGGTAGCTGAGTGTGGAATCTGATCTGCCTGGCACCTCTTTCCATTGAGGACGTCGAAGATGTTTTCATATTTGGATTTATGATAATCGGATTCCTGCTGATCGGCTGTGAAGTTCTGGTTTATCAGAAAATGAGAATGACACTGCGGCGGTCCGGGCCTGTGTGAAGCTGTCAGTGACCCTGGATGGGATCTCTCGTACGGCGAACGCACAGACTCAAATGATGGGGGAGTTGAATCGCAAACTCGATGTGGTTCTGGCTAGGACCGCAGCCCAGCAGCGTGAGGAGTAAAGGCAACATCTGGGTGAAGTTCATACGGGAGAGGCGAGATGGTAACGAAATCTGGAATAATGGCATTTTCGCGAAAGTTTGCTGCTTGCTCTAAAGAATTTATTCCGGATCCCACAGATGTGACCTTGGTCGCAGGCTGATAAACCTCCCTGGATGATATGTGTGGAGGAAGCCTTGATCCTCCCACCCCCTCCCCCAACCTCCACCTGTGTCTGGAATCCAGTCTGGAGGCTGCACTGGGTGGAAACAGAGAAAATGAACTCTGGTGAACTGTGCTTGACTGMTAACAGCTGGTTTGGACTCTGAAGGTCTCTGATTGGTCCCGGCACTCTGCSCTGAATGTCACTGGCTCCATTGCATCCCTTCCCCCCTTCCATATGTTTGTTCCCCCACCCTCCCCACCTCCCCCTCCTTAGCTGCCCTTTTGTAGAGTGTTTTTTTGTGCGCATGCTCGTGTGTTTTCTTTGTATAAAACACAGGATCAAAGCTCTTTTTTAACTCATCCTTCCTAYGTGTGTGTGTATTCTAAACTGCAAGGTAAGGCATGTTGTTGCACATGACACTGGACATTCGTTCCCCCATGTTTGTTGTGTTTCTCCGGACGGATGTTCTAAACTGCGTTGCGTTATGCATTGCATCTTTGATGTTGTCTGGGAATGACAATAAATGATTCTGATTCWGATTTGATTTWCAGAGTATTAACTGGTAATGAATTTTGCGCTCAGTACTAAATTCAGYAAGTCAGCATGCTGTTGGTGACTTTTCCTCCAGTTTAATCTCCAGGCCACTATAAATATGAATCAATAAAATCAGAACATGTTTATTGAAACTTACTAATCCATTCATTATGATGAGAAGAAGGGATGTCTTAAACTAATGTATTAGCAGAGAGGGGCTTCACCCTTTTCTGAAGAGAAAAGTCACAGCTGCTAACATCAATTAAAAAATAATTAGCAGCATTTTTTTTCCTTGAGAAACTCTGGTCTCTGTCAATGTTTGACATAAAATCTTTTCTCTGTTACCACACTAAAGCAGATTATTAACTTATTCTTTAAGACATTTAATTGCCTGAGGATTCCTGATCAGTAGGGAAGATCCAAATAATCACAAATTAGACTGTTCAGTGGAATAATTTAAATCACCACTGACAGAGCTTTCTGTCTCAGTGCTTTACTTTATTTTATTTTAAGCACCACCTTTTAAAAGCAYACAGCGTATACCCACTGAGCTGCTCTGTAATAAACATTTTGAGTGTTGCCATCTTCTGTTTTATCCACTGTCAATCCTGCACGTATCAAGCGCCATATGCATGTTTTATGTTTCCTAATGTTTCATCTTAATGCATTTATGAATCCATCTGCTCAGTTCTGATTTGTTCTCCAATTTTTTTTGCTCATCTCCTGCCTTCTTGTTAATTGATACTGTAGGTGTGATACACTGTAATGCATAATGTAAAAGTAAGTGTCACGACATTTACTCAGTACGATTTTTCTTTGAGCTGAAGAAAGCCTTTTGATTTTTTAGCTCTTCAGTAAGTACAATGACCTTGTTTGATCTGTTGCTCAAACATTATCATGAATAATGCAGCTTTCAGAATATGTGATGCAATAAGCTTTAGCTGARAATCTGAGCATGTGACCATAATAACTTAAAACTTAAACACTTTGCCTTTGTTTGATGATTTGATTGCAAAGTGCATTTGTTCCTACGAGGCAGAGAGCTCCCAATTCGCATCGGTCGTGGGAAAAGATATAGGCCTGCTGTAAAGCAGACCTTCTTTAAATTCATTGGCTGATGTAATGAAACTGATTTTAAAATCATGGTTTAAAAGTCACTAAGCCAATAGGCATGATATGCTTTCTTAAAATATTCTCTCAGCTTTAACGGAACAAATTTTGACGGTTTTCTTCAGCATTACAAACTGACTAGTTCATAAATTTTGAAATGGATTTAATTGTTTCATTAGCTCTGAGAAAAATGGATTTTAATTTTATATAATTCACAAATATAGTAAAAACATAATAATAATGCATATTTAGATGCCAATTTGCAAAAAAATAAAAAATCAAAATACTATTTAAATATGCCTGTTTTAATTTTCAGCAGTGAGCAGCTGAAAATTCTTGTAAAAATCTTATTTATTCATTGAAAATGTATGTCCTTTTTTTCACTGATGATGAAGAAATAAATTAATATTTGGTTTCGTTTTCTACTGAAGTGACACAAAAAAAAGAAGAAAAAAGAAATGTATTTCCCTAAAAAGTTGTTTTTGTACTCTGAGCCAGAAGACTTCACTTTAAGCATGGCCACAGATTTTTCAGTTCAATTTGACTTTATATCCTCAATGATTTTATAAATGAGTTTAACATCATTTACAGCTAAATTGTTTTCAGAGAATCGCAGCAAAACTTGAGTTTTTCTTCGTTGWTGACATTTTCAAATTTTAGTTGTGATACAAACTAACAAACAATCCCATTTTTTATCACATTGTTGTTTTCTTTGACAAAATGTGTGATGAATACATTTTGAACCCATGAAATAGTAATATTTTCTGTGTTAAATTTATATAAATGAGTTAATTTTGACTAAGGCATTACCCATGTGGCTCATTTCTTAAATTTAGTTTTTACGGTTCAATGATAAAAATAATAAGCAGACAGCTTCATATTTGGGTTGAGTCAGTTATAGTAAAACCTTTTTTAATGTTTTTCGTACCAATTAATTT